TGCCGGTTAGTTAAGGTGTGCGTGACAGTTTTGTGTTGAGTTGTGTGCGAGTGAGCTACTCAAATTGATTTGGTCTAAGTGAGTTGATAAAGTCACGGCACGGGTTAAGTGACTGCCTCAAAAAGTTTTTCTATCTCTTCTATCTGGTTGAAAAATGTAAGTTTTTCTAAAAGTAAACTATAGTTAAACCTCCGTGGAATTGGATGACATCAAAACACGCATGGGTATAATTTGGATGCACTTAGTCTGAGTCAACTGATGGCGGACTTATCTAAATGCGTAGAAATTCTCAATAGAATAATTATGTTAAAAATGTCGCTAATGTATTCTTTTCATTCTCAACTTCAAACATTTATTATACAATATTTCTTCTTAACTATAAATACAAAATTTTTTTTGTTTTTGTTCTGTTTTGTATTTCGTGTGCTGCACTATCAGTTAAAAAGTGTCAAAACTGACGAGAGTAAGACGTCTCGTACAAGCCCTGCCCATCCTATATATTTTATGAAGACCTTAAGAGCGAGCTTTTTCGAATTTTTCCCTTTTTCATAAATTTCCACCATATATGGTATTAAAAAGAGTGTAGTATTTTTTTTATTTTTCGAGACTGCGGAACTTGCTTCTCAGTGTGAGTACGAGGTCGGAAGGGCCTTGGAACGCAGGACAGCAGTGGAGAGTGTTGCCATAATCAGGTGACTTTACTTTTACTTGGTGTTAGGTCAAAGCCATGTGTAAAGCAGTAGATCAGAAATATATTATACAAAGTTTCTACTGGTACTCGATAGAAGGGATTGTAAGAACGTGATTGAAATACTGACTAGTCTGGTGGCGACTTTCGCCTGTAAAATGGGACTGACAGATCCGAAAGACTGCAGGAAATGTCAAGAGCAAGTCACCAGAGAAACAATGGAGCATCTCTTGTGCACTTGTCCTGCATTGGCAAAGCAAGGCATCATGCATTTGGTGGATCCACGGTAGGAGATACTAAAATAGGTATCATTATTGAGGCCACAGAGTCTATTGAAATTCGCGTCAAGCGTAGGCATCCTAAAATATCCTCAAAGATCACATAACGGCACTCCATTAGGTATGGCAAAAGATCAAAACTGGTCTATGTGTGGCTCATTAGACTATCAGACTAACCTAACTTGACCTAAAGCAACATCATTTTAGTGATAACACATTACTATTCCTTACTGCTAAAAATGGTTGTTTAAAATTTGTCTAAATCAATTAAATAGTAAGTCTACATAATAATTTTAAATTACATTTATTTCATTGCCATGCAACTAAGTCTGCTACCTATCCAATAACTGCAAATATTTCCTATTTTTAGCAAATTGTATAAAATTTCCTTATTTATTTACTTTTTTATCAAATCTAAACTGCATGACCACCATTTTCCACAAGCCACTTAGTATATTCATGTATTTTTAGCCTATCAGCCTTCATGTGTTAGGCAAATAAATTTCAGTGCACCTACTTTTGCTTATAAAATTTAAAATAAATTTTCTTCAATAAGGTGCTACACGTTGCCTAATCCTAACAGCCAATAAATATGTATCGAAATAAAGAAATGTAAGAGGTTTATTTATGAGCACGTTTTCGCAATAAACTGTAAAGTCCATGAATTTACACACTACGGGTTATATACCGGCACAAATACATACCTGCTACCACATCCTTCCAGAGCAACTACGAAACCATTGTGCTGTTATGCAACACTTTCGAAATGAAGGCTCTGATTTCATAAACTGATTAAAATTCAAGTTCAAGTGGTCGAAAATGGAAAGCTGTATTTCTTGCAAGTGCTGTAAATTTTGCCTTGCTTGTTGTTACCTTTTCTTTATTCATTTATTTATAATATAGTTTAAATTCAGATAAACATAATAGGATAATCTCGTAAAAGAAAATACAATTTTTTTGAATTACAATGAAATTTGTTTCGAAAACTTCTTGCCATTACGAAAACTTCTTGCCATTTTGAAGTTAATTTCATAACGACATTCTAATAAAAACCTTCGTTCCAATTTTCAAAAATCACTTGATGTCAGCCCCGGGTTATACGGTGGATACATAAGAACCTCCCAACCAAGCTGCCGGAGCTTCCCTCGAATTATTGCCGTCTGTCTATCCGTCAGTCTGTATATACGCGAACTTGTTCTTCAGTTTTTGAGATATCGATCTGAAATTTGAGCATGTTCTTTTTTCCCCAAGAAACTGCTCGTTTTTCGGAACCGCCGGTATCAGACCACTATAGCATATTGCTTCCATACAAATTACTATTGGAATCAAGTCTTTGTATGGAAAACTTTGTTATTAAAAATCAATGATTTAATCTCTGAAAAAATGTTTTAGATCGGATTACTATACCATATATCTGCCATTTGAACTGATCGGAAATAAGTGCTTGCATGGAAAGCTCATAGCTTCGGGAAATTTGGCAATAGTTATAGTCTAAAGCAATATTGTCCGAGATTAGCATATATTCTTGTTTTAAGAATGTTCAGCTCCAGGGTAATCGGTCCTACTCGACAATTTCCCCTATTTAATTTATTTTATTGGCCTTTCAGTGAAACTTTTTTGACAGCAAAATTACCTTAACGGAAACGACGAAATCAAGATTGTTCATCTTGAAAATATTTACCAATAATTTTAATTTCGATTAATTATACCTTCCCTTGTTTATTTCACAAAATGTTTAATTACAACATCCAAATTAATGGAAGTGCAGTAAATTTAAAAGAGAGAGAGAGATAAAAAACAAGATGAAGAGAGAAAATTTTCAAATTTTCAATTAGTCAATTGCTTACATGCAATTTTTAAGATTAACTAGTCCGCACGAGTATCTCCAAGAACAAAGGATATATAATATTAATTGCACAGTATATACCTGAAATAAATTAAACACTTAAAAATATATACACTAATATTCAATTTTATTTGAGGCGTTTAAGCTTTTTACTTATCACCTGTCTAGATCAACCCTTTCCTCAGGCAAACTAGTTAAAAATAACTTTTTGTTGTCGTAAACTTTTTATAATAATTAAATGTCAAATACAAAAATTCAAAAAAGGTAAAGCAAAGCGACAAAAATAAGTAAACCAAATGGACCCGACTTGAGTAGCCGCAAGCCAATGACTAAGATTTGCCAAAGGCATTACTCTTTCAATTCATTTCGGTTGTCAACTCAATGGAGAGCGCACGATTAAGGAAATGTAAATGAGCGTAAATGTACTTGTGTCAGCGTTAGAGTAGTGAACATGGCAGCATTGAAAGTTATCCTAGCAACAACAAAAGCTTGCCATTTGCATAAAGATCTCTGGAGTTTGATAAAAATTGTTTTCGACATTTTCTCAGTATTTGCAGACATACACACATACATACATGTATACGTATTAGCTTACAGCGTTTGTGACCATCAATCGCTTAGCTTCGGAAGTTTAGCTTACAAAATGGCGTTGAATAAGTGAGGATGTCATTTGGTCGCCACATTGTTTCCTTGTGGTTGCATTTAAATTGAAATTAAACGAAACGGTTTAAATGTTCATTTTGATTTTTTAGTATAAAGATAGCTTGGCAAGTTATCAAATTGCTCGCGTCTCTATGAATTAAATTGCGGCAAAAAAAAATAATAGCGTAGTTAAAAAAAATTAAATTTTATATAATTCTTGTATGTATCTATGGTATAATGCGCTGCAATGAATCACTTTATTATAATATTATTCATCAATTATTTACCTATCCGAGATAATATTAATCATTTAATTGCCATATCTTGCAACTTTAATTTTCAATTTATTCAGACAGAATATCCGCGTCTAGGTCTCCAAACCCAAACAAAGTAGTATTTTAGTACATGCGCCCCCAGTGCGTGCTTGTATATTATCAGTCACAATCCGGTAGACAAATCAATTGATAAGCAATTAAAGAATGAATAAATATTAATATTAAAACTGGGTATTAATTATAGAAAGATCTTATACCCAGCGCACGTTAGCAAATGCAAAAAATATGATTTTTGTAATCAATATTTTTTAGGTACTACCTAAATAACCTACCACTTTATGCTCTCTTAAAAATTACCGATCAGTTTCAAGTAATTGAAATAACATTTTGCTATAAATACAAGAAATATAATTTATGAATAACAACATATGGACAATGTCGATTTTGATCTTCGAAAAAAAAAAAAAATTTTACATATTTTTGAAAAAAAACTGACTGTGCCATATAAGCCTTAACCGAAAAATGTTATACACTATTGAAATATTAGGAAATTATACATATTCTATTATACTATAAATAGTATTGATGATTCCAATAAGCCCTAAATTAGAAGGAAATACGAAAAAAAACCATCTGATCAAATTTGACCCGAGCTGTTCCATTCAAACGTACGCGCAAGCCGAATCGATACAATTTTTTTCCTAGATTGATACAACCTTTGTTTACGTTCGTTGAAATTGATATCGTAACTGTCCATCAACCAAGCGACTGACGCTCCAAAAATCAGCCGAAACCAATAAAACCAAAATTCCCTGAAAACACTGAATGTCATCCCAGGCTTATAACAAGCATATGGAAAATTAAATGGCAATCATGTATTGGCCCAAGCGCCTATTTTGAAGGCAATAATAAAAGTTTAAATAAAAATGTTTGAAAATATAGAGTTTTGTTTTATAGTCCGGTTGAAATTTCATCAGATGATAACTTTTTTTCTTTTGACCATATCTCTCAAAAAAAAATTGTTTTTGTTTTTGTCTGTGTATTGTACACTCTTATACCTAACAGAATATGTATCTACAGTTGCATTGTATGTTGGTATACAAAATTTAATTAAAATTGACAAATTATAATAAAATCAAATTGAGTAGTGCCATATAATTACCAAATCATATTAACCAAAATATTCCATATTCATATAAATACACTTGACTAGTGCTTTTGAAGATCAGTAACAGGAGAAAGTACAAGTGTGACAGATGTGAAGAACACGATGTAAAGTGCACGGAAATTTAAAATTTCAGCAAAAAATATTTAAAAAATTATAAATACTCAAAATAGAATAGTACTTTAAAAAATAAAAGTAGACAAGATGGTCGCAAAATCTTTACTCTTATTGTTGTTGGCCACAATTGTCAGCAGCGGCTTGGCACAATCGCCTGTGGATTGGCAGCCACTGCTCGACCAGCAGAACTTGGTTCTACGTCAAGTTGTGCAGACATTGCAACTGACCCGTAGCGGAGCTGGAAATACCGATGCCTGTTTCGATTGGTATTTGGATAATCAGACTGCGATCAATGAAGTCTACTATAAGGAATACAACTTATGCGTCAGCGCAGCAACGGCGGCCAAGGAATTGCTGTCGCAGCAAAGTGCTTTGGAACGTCAAGATCTTTTGGACGATGGTCAATCACTTTGCTCAAGTATGAGCGCTTGTGAAAGTTTTACCGATGGTTTGCAGTTCTTTCAGTGCTACGAAGAGGCGGTAAGTATTTACTAGTTAACATATTGGTGAAAGGGGGTTATACTGTGATGAGAAATGTCATGAAAAAGTTAGAGAATAAAACGAGAATAAATAAAAAACAAATATATAAAAATATGAGAATTAATATGATTATAATAATTAAAACGGATTCAAATCAAAATTCTATAGTTTATTATTTAAGACATTCAATTGCTAAGCAAAATGTTTGACGTGCTACAAATTTTATTTGCACACTTTTTAAAAACACTGTCTGAGATTGACAAAGATGAGTTCTTGTTTGAGGTAATTGAAAAACGATCGAGAGTAAATATAAAACTCGTAACGAATTTTAGCTAAACTCAATGCGAACTCAATCACAAATAAATATAGTGAAAGAATGATAGTAGTTCTCATTTTAAAAAAATATTCACTCATCATATTGAGTTGTAGACACTTTCTTTTCATTATTTTTCTTTATAATTTATATAAATAAATAAATAAAAAAATGTATCGCACATCATCGATATACGAGTACATACAATACATAGCAGTCTTATTCCCCCATTTTTCTCTTTTTTCTAGTCTAGCAATAACATTTTGTTTAACATAAGTGTCACTTCGAACGGCATTGCCGAAAGGTTGACAATTTCATATCAAGCCATCAACGACACCCAACGTGTGTGTACTACTGAAGCGCGAGTTAAGAATATCAATGACTTGACTACCAGTAGATTGTATCTGAACAACTGTTTAATTGGTCAGTGGAGCCCACCTGAAACGACCGATGCTACCACTGAAGCAACCGCATCAACCGATGCTCCTACTGAAGCAACCGGATCAACCGATGCTCCCACTGAAGTTCCCGGAGATACTGAAATTGCGAACGAATCTGATACTTCAGATGAAAGACAAGGCTTACAGGAAGAAGACTTATATGATTATAACTAAATTTTAGGCATGAACAAGCGGAAACTAAATGCACATTTTTAATGCTAAATGGTATTGTAAATACAAAACTAACAAATATACATACATTTTTTATATACAGAAATTATATAGCAATCTAACAGCAAAAATTACTAAGCATTTGATTTTAGTGTAATTCAAAAATGACGTAGCTTAAATGACTTGTCTGGCAGTCAGTGTAACATAAATTTTAGGTAGTAAAATTATTTTTCAGTTACATAAAACTGGTATCCATTTTAATATAACAGAAGAAGAGAGTCATTATCATAAAGATGAATCAATGATATATTTAAAAACTATCGGAAATATAATATATACACTGATCCCAAATACTAAGATATAGCTTTCCAGAAATATTCAGCTCTCGAACACCGAGCAGGTCATTTTATAATTTTCTTTCAAGAGACTCATTCCATGGCGTTGCGTTGCTGTTATGGTTAAAAACTCCGACTTCGCTTTAGGATTCATTTTAAAACATATAACAATATCTATTTCAAATATATTATATTAGATATTTAATCATTTTCTGAATTTTTTAACGACATTATTTAAAACGCGATCACGCATATCTCCAACACCACGTGAGATAATCGATTCACTAGATAACAAAATATTGGTCAAGTAAAAAGTTCGTTCGGTTCGAAATTACCGGAACGGAACGTAGCAAACCACTTTTGTGCTACACGTTCGTTTACAGCCAATAAACTAAATTAATTTTTTCAGCCGCTTTGGCTTTGGCCAATACAAGCATGCCAATGCGTAAACCAATTTCCATACATTTTTTATAAATCACAGCTGGGATGGCATTCAGTGCCTTCAGCGAATTCACGGAACCTAATCCGGCGAATAAGGTGGTCAGTCACAATCGACTTGTTTGTATGGTAATATTCCTTATCCGTCATCACTAATAATGCGTTTGATGCTCAGCTAAGTTCTCAAGCATCTCTTATGTGACTTCTACTCGATTCAGGTGTTTAAAGTATTAAAGCCAATTCTACAAAATTTATTAGCGTAAAAGTCCACAACACGCGAGTGATGGAAAGTGTTCCGCACTTCTCTCAACTGACTGACACTAAATTTCAATTAAATATCATTACCTTAATGTATTGTCATAAATAAGTATTACTATCGCTGCTTACCAAATTTTTCATGCAGCACACAATAGTAAATTACATAAATAAATTAATGCTGGCGGCAGTCAGACTGCTACATTAATAAATTAGCATAACAAAAAACTATAGACAACAACAACAAGTAAAGCAAAACAATTCGCCCATCACTATCAGTAACAATTGTAGGCATCACTATTTCATATACTATACGTGTGTGTTTTATTTTTCTGTTTATCTATATATGTGTGGGATTTCCATCAAATACAAGTCCACACATGTCATACGTGTTCGACTCATATGTGTGGGTGAGTTCGCAGAAAAACCAAGCCGCCCACACAGTCGGTTAGCTAAGATATACACTCAATAAATGTGTAATAAATCAGCTGTGGCTCAAAGTTAAGAGTATTCAGCTGCATAACGAGGCAATAAACTTGAATTGGAATTTATTGGCTGCTGCCGCACTAGTGTATACACTCACGAAGCGCGTCATATGATTGCGGAAAACTTTCAAACTCACCAATTATTATCAACTTTATTTGCCCCGCCTACTGTTTTTGCTGTTGCTGTAAGCGAAACGCTTATCACCGGCGAGTATTACGCAACATTCACCTGCCAGATACTGCACGGCGGCGATAGTGGCGATAGCGCCTGCGGATAGGCTACACTTATTCGCCTAACACAACGCAGGCGACTAATGAGCGTGAAAGGCTAGCGAGTAAATGATAAAAAACTATTTTTATATTTCTATGTGTGCGTAATTAATTTCCTCATAAGTATTTAGTGATAAATAATCGATTTATTGATAAAATCATTATTATAAATTCACTTCATTTATAATTTCGCAATGTAAATGTGTATTACGCCAGGTGCTTGATTTAATTCAATGTTGAATAAAGTACGCATTTTCACGCTGCGCCTAATCATAATTATATGTAGGTGATGGTCATAAACCGATTGCGCGCTGCAAAAATTTACATCAATATTGCTAATGTGACAGTAGAAATTGCAACCGAATGCCACTTGTTGCGGAAAATGAATAAATAGCACAATTTTCCAGTTGATCAAGTTAGTTTATTGCGGTCGCCGCGCCTGTGGCACACAAACACACTGCCCCCCGAAACATTTGTATTGCACGCGCGTTGTGTGTATTCAAAATAAATTTTGAAGTTTTTTGCTTTCATAATTCATAATTTTCAACATCAACACAATCACATTGGTGTCCGCGTGGCCTATGTATTTGTATTAAAAAATTTTAAATCAAGTGTGAGCTCAACTTGTGCGTAATTAATTGCAACATTTTTTATAGAAATCATTGGAAAATATTAAATCTTATATTGCTGCAATTTGATTTGATGTACCCAAATAGAAAAGTTAAAAAATAATGCAAAATAACTATAACATAATAATTGTGTCCGAAAAGTTCAGATTTTCGAAAATATATTGACTCGGCATAATAAATTATTAGTTTGAATTGCAAGGCAAATTTTAAAAAACAAATCAAACTGAAATTGATATTCAAAATTATTTGATTTTTAAAGTTATGTACCCATTATAATTTTAAATAAAGAAAAGTTCATAACTATATACAATAATTAAATGCATTACTGACACCCTTGACTATACAAGTAAAGTTATATGAATTTTTTATCGAAAACTTCAAACATAATACAAAAAAAAAACTTTTAGAAAAACAAGAAAAAACATTAACTTCGGCTGCACCAAGGCTATACCACCCTTCACAGGTGAATTTCTGATCGCATAAAAGGGTATAAAAATATCTTTATCTTGATTATGATCGGACAGTTTTCCATACAAAGACTTGAATTTGGTCGGTCAATTTGTATGACAACTACATACTATAGTGATCCAATCTAAATCATTTTGCATTGAGAATGCAGCGCTGCTTATGCTAATAAGCTATGCAGAGTTTGTTAAAGTTATTTTTTTAAATTAGAAAGTTTTCCATTCATCAATTCAATTTATCACTGGCTAAATTCGATGACAGAGTTTACAAAAAATATTTCACCAAATTATTATTTCACAATATTTCTCAACCTTCCAGTATCATTTTCACAATACAATTGCCTTTTGCTAAAAAAATAGATATCAGTCCCAACGATTATTTCGCTACTGTCAATAAATTTCTTTCCATCAAACATTCTTTTGAGATCTGTAAACAGAAAATAAGCGCTGAGTTAGTTCTTTAGGAGTTGTTCGCCCTTGAACACCTACCACGTTCATCGTTTTCAAAACTCCTATAATTTCTATAGCAATCCACGATTGGTTGCCGGTATAGAGCAGCAGACAGCTAAACACTTTGTAATTGTATTGCGATTCTTTCTTGAGGGTAAAGAAGCTCTTCTTTCTCCTTAGTAACCCATTAGTTTTGCTTTCTATTAAAACTGATTTAAGTCTTAAGCTAATAAAATAAAATAAAAAATCTTTATATTTTCATTTTTGACAATAATTTATTTTCTAAGCCATTCACAATGCTACAACTGATCTAAAATATGCAAAGCAAAACTTAGCAGTATTGAAGATAGCGATTATACCCTAAATGAGGCATCTGCATACTCTTGTTATTGCTTTTGCATTTAATGTTTTGAAAAAAAAGGAACGCACAGCGATAGCGAGCAGAGAAATAGCGAATTGAAGATAGCTAATAGAACTTTTTGTTTGGCAGTTTATATCTTTAGCTAAACTTAATTCTTGAAAATGATCAAGCGCGTACAGCGTGTTTTATTATTATCCAGTAAATTCACACAATCAGCATTCATAAACAGTACATTTTAATTGAATTTCCGTTAAAATAAAATTAATTTTGTATTCAAACACCTGCAGCAATTAACTGATGGGGGCAAAAGCTACGCAGACGAATAGCTACACTTTCCCCACGGCTAGAAGTAATTAGATATTTATATATATATATAGATATATAGATATTTATATATATATATATATATATGTATGTATGACAAAGCGTGATTGTCATGCTAAAGTGTGCACACTCACACACATACACACACTTTTTTATATGTTTTTTTTTTCTCAATTTGCGTACCAAATTTTATTCTAAACTTTCGCGTGCGGTTTATTTCGCCTGCAGACTAATTTGTTATTGGAAATTCAACAAAATATATTAAATTTGCACACTGAACACGCCTGCTGCTGAGGCGTCGACAGTACTAGCTATTTTTTAAATAAACAGATATGCATACTTATATATATATATATATATGCATTTATACCTATATCCACATATTATACTTGTATATGCACACATATGCTGCATGTGTGTGTATGAGGACACCCTTATATGTGTGCCATTGTAACGGTATACGCACACATATATCACAGACTACACATAGCAATCCAAACGGTTATTAACTTTTGCTAGTCCGGTTGCTGTAACGAAGCAATAAGCTCCAACACATGCGGCTACACATACACACATGTATATGAAAATATTGCAAATCCCTCGCTCATAAATTTGCCAACTTTCTAGTTTTTTAAATTATTAAACTATTTTTGTAGTTGTTTCATTCATTTTTGGTGTGAAAGTTTAAAATCACAATTAAAATGAAAGCCAACCTCGATTCGGTACGTTGCATGCAACATTTATCATTGACAACAAAAGAACAATGGCAAACGCTTCATATAAGCGAAAGAACTGTGAAAAAAATTAGTTAATAATATTAGTTTATTACAAATTTATGCTTTACACATACATATATATATATATATATATTTATACCCTAAACAGGGTATACGGTGAGTAGATCAAGACATGTCCTTATGTATATCTATCCGTCTGTATATACGCGAACTAGCCCCGCAGTTTTTGAAATATCGATCTGAAATATTGCACATCTGCTTATCTCCACAAGAAACTGCTTATTTGTTGTAATTGCCGATATCGGATCACTATAGCATATAGCTGCCATACAAAATTACCTATCAAAATGAAGTCCTTGACTGAAAAACGTTTTTAGTTTACGAGATATCTTCACAAAATTTGGCACTGATTATTGCCTAAAGCAATGCTACAATATCCAAAAAAATTGTTGAGATCGGAGCACTAAAGCCATCGGAGATCGGAGCTGTCATACAAACTGTCCGATCAAAATCAATATAAAGATCATTTTATACCCTTTTCTGCTATAAGAAATGCTGCTGTGATATTATTATAGCTTTGGTGCAGCCAAAGTTACCGGTTTTGTTTTGTTTGTATATTCATGTATTATATTTAATATATATACATATATATGCATATAAGGTGACATGAATGATAACATTACATTGTTGCTCCATAAACAGATTTATAAAATAAAATATAAAATATTTATTATCTAAATAAATTGTGTTAAAAACAGTAGAACGACCGCTTTAAAAAAAATATTATTTTGTTTAAATTTCACAACTTATTTCCTCAACCATTTAATTGCAGTTAACGTTTGTTTACCTTTGGTGGAACTCGAGCATAATTAACCCACTCGTTGTAATTAACAGCATGTTGATGCACAGTTTCGTAAGTACACACCTTGCTAATATCACACATACTTATATAGAAATTTAATGTTTACTATATGAGAAAATATCTGTGTAATTTTTAATATTCAAAACTGCAAATAAAAATCTGATTATATATTTATGCGATTAAATTGCATAATTTTTTTTTAACACATAATTTAATTTTTTTTCACGCTTAAAATTTAATTCTGTTATAATTTTTTTTCGCCGTTAATAGTAATGGGTATTTTATTTAAACAGCTTTACTTGTTATTTGTTTAAACTTTTTTCACTTACTTTTTATTTTCATTTAAATACATAGCTGCCTACACATCAGTAGCTGGCTGTTATAACAATGCCAGTTTTTGCCTTTTTTTGTGAAGGAACTGATTATCAATAACATAAATAATAAATATTAAGAGCTTTAAAAAAGTATTATAAATTGTATTGATAGTTAAAAATAATTTTGTTTTTTTTTTTCATATAAAATTTTTCAATGCATTTAAAATTACTTCGTATTAAGTACTTGATAAATTTGTTTTTACCAATATCTCTTTCACTTTTTGTATTTGTTGAAAGCAATCTTTTATTACATCTAAATATAAGCTATGTTTAAAGTTATCATTACATAAATATATTTTTACCAATATAAATCATAAAAGTAATGTTAATAAGTCAGAAGGTTAAACAAAATATAGAGATTTTTATATGCAGCATATGAAGTTTGGATAAAAGTATAAACCAGTTTCAGTATAATGGAAGCACAGAAGCCATACTCCAAACACAAATGTTTTTTAAGTTTTGCTACAATAAATTCATGAATACTTCCGAAAAAATTTCGTTGAAAGACAACTGGACAAATGGTTGTGTACTACCCAGAACTTACTGTTCTGCGTTTTTCTAGTGGTAGGGTTGCGAAATGTCCACTTTTGTCAAAAAAACAATCAATTATTTGCTTGGAAGTGCTTCGTGCGCGACCAACTTTTGTTGGATTCGACTTATCTCGAAACACCCATACAATCTAATGCTGTTTCCTTTGGGGCTAATACTCGTAAATCAACGATTTAGCATCTGCCATGTTGTCATAGACGTGTTTCGAAGCACCGCTATCGTATTTTGTTTACGATTGATAAATTATGTGAAATCCAAGGTGAATAAATCTTTTTAAGTCAAATGTTCATGCAATATTGAAAGTATGCTGTTCCACTACTGCCTATAGTTGTCTCATTCTCACGATAGGTCACATGACGATCTTGTAATATCAGTTTGCGCACAGCATCTGTCGTTTTCGGAACAACAATTGATTTTGAACGAAATTATTCCTGAAGAAATATATGCCTTTTTTCGCCGGGATGAATATTTTAAGTTACTGTTAACAACACAAATAGCGCTGCTATGTCAAAATGTTTTAAGTATGTATAACATAAAAAATGTCAAAGTTTACAATAAAGTGGTGAGTTGACATATTGCAACTCTAAGGTTGCCAAATCCCAAAATATAAAAGGCAACCTACCTACCTATATGTAGGAATTGATCCCTTAAGCGTCAGAGTCGGTGAGAACGGCTAAACCGATAGACTTGAAATTTTTATATTATAATCATTTTGGATAGGTAACGAGAGCCCTCATTTTGTCTAAATCAAAATTTTTACAATTAATTCGATCATAACCTTGCTTTTTGGATATGAGATTATTTTAAAGAGAAAAATCTTACTCACTAGCAGGCACCTTTTGATTCAAATCCAAAATTGATGGTGATGATGATGACAATTTTCCATTTATGTGCACAGAGAAAATCAATTGCACATTATTATAATAAATTTTGTAAATAAAATGCTTAGTCAGAGAAAAGTCGGAAACCTAAGGTTTTTTTTTTAATTTTTGTTACCTAGAAATGTCCTTTCGACATTTGTTTTCTGTGTTCGCATTTCATAGCAAAGACTAAAACCGTTTCATGCATTACAAAATTGCAAGATCAAGCTTAGCAAAGTCCTTGAGGGTTCCCTTTTACGAAGCAAAGCGTTTCACTTCAATTGAAATCTGAATTTCACTCAATCACCATCGCCTTGCGTATAACAAGCGCTTCAGACGCAAACGTTGTGAGAAGTGCCATTAATTTTCAGAAACAACAAACAAAAAAAGAAACAAAAGCTTGAAACTCGTTTACCGTCAGCGCGCATGCGCATGAGAGCCGCTGGCAAATTGACAAATTTTAATATGTCGAAGCTTCACGGAGACCATGAATTTGATGGTGATGATGATGACAATGACGATGTGCGCCATCAATTTTCCATTTATGCGCACAGAGAAAATCAACAAAAAATACAAAAACAACAAACATACCAAAAGACAAAAGACAAGAAAAGCTTTAGGAAGCATATGGCAAATGCTTGCATAAGAAAGCAACGCTGCACGTGAATGCAAATATGAAGTTTAAATTTCGAAAGAAAAAGCAACTGAGAAGAAAAAATTAAATATGCAACTTGAAAAAGTCGCGCGCTGGCTTTGCACAAAAGCGGCGAATGCCAAAGTGTGACTTGTAAACAAGACACACTTTACACGCACCATGCTAAAACAACAACAAGCCTAAGGTGCCACCAGAATTCCCGGTGGAGAATGGCAGGAGGATCGCTGTGATTGTCATGCAATGCCCGCTGGCGGTTGAATGCATATGTCAGGCGGCGGCTGTAACAGACACGAAAAACGCACACAAAGATTTGTTGCTCAAAACACACCTCAGCCTGACATCCGTCACACAAACATAGAGAAGGACAGAGGCAAAGAAAGAAAGAACGAAAAAAAAAGTGTAAAAAAAATTCCTTCAGTGGCGAAGTTGTAAAGATTGTTGACGGATGTGAAAGTGCGAGTGTGTGTTTATGTGACGGAGTGTTTGTGTAGTGGTTTTTGTTTTTGTGTTTCAACTTCTACAAAGCAAATCTACGCACATCTCGCAGCTATGAAACTGAAAAATTTATACTTTCGTATGAATGTCATTGTGTTCAAGTGAGTGTGTGTGTTTGTTGAACAACTCATGTGTCACTCAAACGCATTTGCATTCGTTGTAAGAAATTTAAGTGAACGTAAGGTGAGTTGCTTTATAGCAATGCTCTATAACGTTTTATCCAATAGGTCAATTGATCTACTGATTGAAGTGGAACAATTGATCTACTGATTGAAGTGGAACACAATCAGCTGCGGCGACCGTTATGAAGCAATGTCGTTATATTGAAAGCAATATGTTGTCTCGGCTTGATCCTTTAATCATGTAGGATGCCTTGCTCGCTTTCTCCTACACCATTTAGGTCATTATCTGCTGCTTTTTAGTTCACTGCACTGCACTTCGTTAACCTCATCATATAGTTCGTGCATTGCTACACCTCACACGATTGCTGTTCTAGATTTCATGAACCAGTCACCGAACTACTAGATCACGTCACGTCAGCCCTTTACATTAAATTACATAACATCATAAGATATCGCATTCCATTCCATGACTTTATTAGATCACATAAAACATCCTTGCATTATTATGTCACTTGGCTTCACTTCAGCTCAAATTACCTACTCAGGGTATTGCATCATAGTCATCTAAATAACATCATGCCTTGCAATCATATGCCTCCATAACGCAGCAACTTTTCAGTTCAAAGAATAACTCTTTACAAATCATCACATCATGTCATGACATCAAATGATACAACTCTTTTCAAATTAATTGAGTACAGTAATGTCATCAATACAAAGCCATCACATCACATGAGATCAAACAAATCGGATCATAAAACACGTTACTTTGTTATAACGTATAGCTTAACGTCAAATTAATACTTTGAATAATATTATATTATCTTATATTGGCACATAATCAATCATGCCAATAAACCATATAACTTTTCAATTTTTTACACCACATCATACCATTATAACATCGTGTTATACTATTTACATCCCATTTGTCATTTCGTCCAATTTAACACATTTGTTTACTATTTACTTAATTAATATCATATGAAATTAACATATATCATTTTTAATAATATCACGTTGAATAATATCTCCTCACAAGCCATATTTCACCATATCATAACGCAAGAACAACAGGTGATTTGAAAATTATTAAAGAAATCACCGCACTCTATACACTTGATTCATATGTAATCGAATCATATCACAACAGCTTAAGCCAAATTACAAAAATTATAGTTACAGTTATAGTTAACTCAAGGCATCACATCACAACAACGGATCTTACGTTTTTTTTGCTATTGTGTCTTAACAGATTAGTCAAAACACCAATATATATTCATATTTCCAGAGATTTTACCTTTCAAAATAGCATACCAAAATTTTAAATCCATTTCTCAAATAATTTATAAGTTACAGCCTTCTAAAATGTAACCGCTAAGTTTCAACCGCACCATCAGGTTCTCTCGAATTTGCTTCATTGATTACTCGGATTTTATATTTTTCTTCAAATATTTAACTGGGTATTTTTAAATGATGTATAAATATATGTTTAGGTATTTAAAAGAATTGATACAGTAGTTATTATTTAAAATTTCCAAAAATCGCCTTATTCAATCACCTTGCTGTGTGATTTTTAAAATAAATTAAGTTTGAATTTACGTTGAATTAATTTATTTCTAGCATCAAAACCAGTATATAAAATTTCAACACTCGTCAGTTAATCATAAATCAAAAATATTTGCCATTCAAAAAATTTTCTATATTCAATTGCAACTGTTTTTCAACTTCACACGTATGCAAATCGGCAAAATATGCGCTTTCTAATTATTTTCCACACATAAATCATACAAAACCTTTGCGGTCATATTCTTTTCACACTTCACATATGTGCCACATAAGCAATTGGGATTTCATCTGAAATTAATTTAATTCCTGCAACGGGAATTTAAATGTGCAAGCTTGAGTGCCAAACAAGCCCAGTGAGTAGTGTTGCAACACCGTCGGCATTTAATTCTCAAATCGCAGCGCATTATCGTCGCTACAAGCGTTTTAG